TGCTCTCCTCCTGCGATAATTCTGTTTAGTCAATTACTTCTTCTCCTGAGCCTTATGCTGGGATAAACCAGGAGAATGATGAGGGTGGGAGATAAGGGGACACAGCCACTGCCAGCAGTGTGGAAATCTTTTATTATTCTTTTTTTGAACACCTCCAGGCCCCCCCACCCACACCAACACAAACCAATATTGTGCTGCTATGAGAGCAGCATTGCATTCTGAAAAGCAGCCCCCAGAGCTGTACTCTGCTGGATATGCTGGAAAACAGCTATTAAGAAGAACACAAATTGTGTTTAATGACTGAAGAAATAGCCACTGAAGTCAGTGTGAATGTGAGGCAAATCTTTTGCAATGCTAAGTTGTGCCATGGGACAGTAGACAAGAAATGAAATGTTATTATCTAGGGTTCCTAGATATTTCTTTACACTGTTTTGGAAATAAAAGAGAAACTTGATAAAAGTGAACAAAACCACTTGAACCCTTTGCCCTGCAGCACAGATTGGCAGAGAAATGGGGAAGAATGTTGAGATGGTTCCAGATTTTGCAGGAAACTAGCAATGCTCGGGAAATTGGAGAAGCTGGAGTCCCTTGCATGGATGTGTGCCAGAGACAAAAGCATTGTTATAACAGCTGGAATCTGTTTCTACAGGCCTCACTGAGCAGGACATAAGTACATACTTAAGCCTATCCTAAACCAGCAAGGAGCAGAAGTGTGGGCCGAAGTTCCAGTTGTGCTACTGACTGCACGTGGCAGTAGTGAGATTCTCACCACCTCCAAAACATCTCTGCTCTGATTCAACTTCCTTGCTTTGTCAAAAATAATTATGTTCAGGTGACCAACCTGAACTGGAACATGACCTTAGATTATCTCAAACTAATGAAGGCAAAGATAGATATTTACACTATCTATCTAACTAGTTAGGTGCCCTGAGCTAGTGTCCATGTCTTTCCCTTTGGACATACAGGGTAGTTGGGCTCTCAGGCTCGTGAGTTCTGCATCAGATTTTAATTAGATGACTAAAATGCTTGTTATAAATATCTTTCTAAAAAGCAAAGATTTAATTGTGAGCATAATTAAGTGTTGAAATAAATTTGAAAAACAATTTCAATTTGTTATCACTTGCAATCTTTCAGCTGAGCAGGAGCGTTCATAAACATTCATTTCCCCAGTTATGTGGGGTTCTTATAGCGCACATTCTGGCACTGTGCTGCATAAATTGACTCAGGTCCATGGTATGTTCTACCATGTATTCCTCCCGAGGGAAGAGCTGTGTACACCAGGATGGCTTCTTTTCGTAGCAAAATGTGGCATGTGTGTGAGAGCCTGCTTTTCCAAGAAGGTGCCTGGCAGTGTTTTACAGTAATTGCAGTTTCCTGTGAACATACCCTGCATGCTATAGTCAGTTGATGGATGACCAAAGCATGACTTACTAAAACCAGATTATAATCTACCAGAGACAAGTTTCCTAGCCAGCCAGGAATGATTGCTGGATGATGCTATGCAATGTCTGGAAAGGTGATACAAATGATTTTCCAAGTAACAACCTGGAACGTAAGTCTTGGTTTTCCAACTAATGTATGTAGTGACTGCTTGTAGACACTGAAAAAGAGCTGTGTGATGGTTTCTGATAAAGCTGCAATTTTCAGTCTCATTATTTTATGAGTGCCTTGCTGGAGAAGCAAGCTCAGACCATTTCAGATTGTTACCCTGGCCTTTTGCCTTTTTATTTCAGGAAAAGGAACTGTGCCTCTGAGACAGCATCAAATGCTTTAGGTAGTTCCAGAATGTGAGTAAGGATGTTTACTGTGTAGTGACTGACTAGAGGAGATTTTGCTTCCACTGAAATGGTTTCTCATCCATGTCCTGGATCTAAAAATATCCATTCAGCTTCATGTATACAAGGCTACACTTATTCCTGGGTTATTGTTTAGGAAGAATGTTGAAGAGTTAACCATAGCCAATAACAGACTGTTACCCGTGCACCCAGGACACTTTTCATGCCAAATATTGTCTTTGAAGAGAGCCTTCTTCTGTGAGTTTCATGTCAGCTCTTTCTGTCAAGTGGCACCAACTTACCCTGATGGAGGAAAGGTAACTGTTGTAGTCAAGTTCTTGGTTCATGCCCCCTCCTCAGTATGTGAAACTTTGTGCAGGTGGAGGGTGATGGGCACTGGAAGCCTTGATGGAATGTTGGGTATAGTGGTGGCCTTTTATGCTACTTTGCATTTCTGACACTCTTTTGATCACAAGATCTATCTGTTAAGAACTGATTAAATCATCTGAGAATCATAGGAAGGCCTGGGGTGAGATTTGGAAGTATCAGTGGAGGGAGGTGGGAAGGAAGATTTTATGGGAGTATGGGACAACCTCAGCTTTTATTTTCTGCCACTTGGTACTTTGGTTTCATGCCTCTGTCAGAGGAGCTTGTACAGTGGCAGAAAGCAAAGCAGGGATATGCAAATGGTAGGAAGACAGAGCCATATGGTAGTCAGTGTGCTGATTGTCAGTGCTGTCAGTGCTAATGCCCCAGAAGCCCCTCATGTTTTCCTCTGGGGAAGAAGACATTTGCATTTTAGCAGACCTTGGTTAGTTGTTGACGTCTTTGTGGCCAAGCCAGAGGCTCTGGACTTATGGCTAGTGTCCTAATGAAATGATGGTTGCGATGTTCATAATCTCAAAAGCAAGGCTGGCAAGCAGTACCTGGCTAGCTACTCAACCAGAGATTATCTTGACAGTTCCAAAGAAGAAAAAGGGAAGAATTTGGCAGTTTTAGTCCAGCAGCCTCACTCCAGTGTTGTTGAAACTAGGGGAACACTGATTTATTTCACTACCTTCAATATACCAATGAGTTCTGTGAATGCTAGAGTGATTCTGAGAATGCTAACGTGGCTTTACTCCCTGTTCCTTTACTGCTCCTCTCTTCTGTTGTGCCTACTAACTGGAAAGCACAGGCTGAATGGTGTCCTCAGACTAAGTGCTGTGTGTTCATCCGTAGCGACACAGCCTCCAGAGAACAGGTTAAACAACTGTTCTCTGGAAGCAAACTCTGTCTGTATATGCCTTACCTCACAGTCACTGTTTTCTTTATTCCTTGGGTTGAACAAAGGTTTCAGACACAGAGTCTGTCTTGGAGATACCAACAAAGAGCTTTAAATCAATTTATAGTTTTCTAGTGATGTAACCAAAGATAAACCCTGCTTATTTAATTAAGGCATGTAGTTGATATGCAAGACAATGAATATGTAGGGCATGTATGTTAGACATTTGCCTGAGATCTTTGTTACCTTTGGATGAAGGATAATGTAAATGTTCTCCCATGGCTTAGTTATAATTTTTGTCCATTTTACAGAAATGTGAATGAAAACCCAGTGCAAAATTTAGGTGTCTGCAGTGCATTTTATGGACCTGCCTTATTCAAATCACAGTGGCTGAATTCAAACCTACAAAGTCTTTTTTCTTTCCATTGACATGAAAAGGGGCCCAGTTTAGTGGCTCTTGTGTAGATAGACTACAGATGGATAGAGCCCAAAAGTGAAGAATCAGAGTGAGGAACTGATTCCATTACATTATTCTCCATTTTAAAATGCATTTATTTGGTTGTTAATGAGATCCAATGTGCTTCAGAGTTCTAAAACAGAATCAGTTCTCAGCCATTCCCCAGGTTGGCTCGGCTTTGTTATTGGGCCTCACATTCAAACTGTCTGGTTTTACATGACCCAATTAATTTTAATAACTTCCCATTCAGACAGCATTTGCACTAGCCAAAATAGAATTTTTCATGAATTACTAAATTAATAATCAGTTTTTACTGACTGTCAACTTCAGTGAAAGTTGATAGGAAGATGTTCTTGGCTTGTAATACAAGCCTAATACAAGCTTCAGGGGGACTCACTAAGTTTCATCCTATTTTTATCAGCCTTCTCCAGCCACCTATATTCCTCTTTTCGCAGGTGCCTTTTATTAGCTTGTTGAAAATCTGTGGGAAGTGAGACACTTTAACCTCTGAAAGATTCACAACAGTTATTTACTCTTTCCTCTTCTAACGAGTCAAAAGAACCAAACAGTATTAGAGAGTATTGAGTAACCACACACCAGTAAAAGTAGTTTACCAGTCCATTAGTTTATTATTACCAAAAAGCTGCCTAGGTCTTAATTAAACTGCAGATCTGTCTCCCTGAGACACATACAGTTTGGCAAGAATTGGGAAAGAGAAACTCAAATATGTAATTCAATATTTTTCTCAGTAGTAGTGTCAGTAGTTGTCAGTGTTTTGTTTTAGAATTGTGGCTGAGGACAATGTTTAGAAATAAGTATCTAGCTGTAAACATCTGACTCCATTGAGTCAGTCATATATAAGGTTGGGGCAATAGTGTATGTCCTAACTATTATCCTATAGGTTTGATCATTAATTGTGATGTGGGATGCTGGACTCCCTTCCAAGCTCTATCCTTCAAAAACTGTGCTGTAAATGAATGAAAACACTGGAAGAAAAGGGAAGAATTGCTATTGTCTAACCACAACAGTCCAGGCAGGCTGCCATAGCAGCATTTTTTAAGCTCTAACTCAATAATTAGACCCAGCTACAAATGTATTTGTTTAGCCAAGTCCTCTAGTTAGCAAAATGTCTCAAATTTCCTTTGATAAATGCTGTTGTTTGCTTTATACATCATTAGATAGTTTACGAATTGTTTGTCTGTAAATTACTATGTTCACTAGCAACTTATTAATTAGATTAATTTGGCTTGGTATTTTGCTATAAATAGCTTATCTTTATATGAATGCATCATTTTATTTCATTGCAGTTACAGATATAATACTGTTTACTAATGGCAGTGTATCTAATTTTAAGAAAATACTGTAAATGTCTTGCAGGCCAAGTACAAAAAAGGCATTTTTCCAGGGCTTCAGTGGGGGGACAATTTTTTATTGTGGGAAAGAAAGATCCATCTCATGTCTTTTGCATGTACAACACCATGTGCTTACTGTGACTCCCTTCCAGCAGGTTTTACATGGCTGCTGATGCGGCTTGTTGGGAGCCTGCACTGTAAGAGCCTTGTTTCACAGCTCTGGCTGGGACAGGTAATCCAAACACATTTCAGATAAATGCATGCAGACCCCAGAGCTGGTACTGCTCACATGCAGAAGTACACCTCTGTAGCTGGGGTTCCAGTAAAGCCCATCTCTCCACAAGCCAACATCCATAATCTTCCATGAGTGGATCTTTGTTGATGTCTTAGGACAAACTGGTTTGCTATCCTAATTTCTTTAACTCCCTGACTCCTGTTGCCTTTCAGAAGTCTTCAGATGTAAACACTTAGAGGAGACCGAAAGGAGAGGAGATTATGATGGGCAGGACAAAGACAATTTCTCCTTTTCTCCAGAGGTGTGCTGGGTATCTCAGCACAGGGAGAGCTGTTTTAGTCAGCCACCTCTCCTTCACCAACCCTGCCCTTGCCGTCTGCTGCTTCCTTGGATGACAAGATTGCTTTGATCATGTTTTCCCACAGAACAACTGAATAGTCTGGGATCCCAGGAGCACTGTTGGAGTGAGATTTAAGGGCTTATCAAGCTGTAGCTCTGGACTCAGAGTTGAAAACGCTCTTGTGCGGATCTATTCACTATACCTTAGGCACATGGTCACTGCCTTCCTGCCCTGGCAGATGTGGAAGGCAGTATCTCCCTCTGGACTTTTGCTTATGCCAGCAGACCTGCTGGAGTGAGCCTTCCCTCCTTTACCACCATCCAAATGGAAAGGACAAAGCCCACCTGGATTTGTCCACAGCCTCATTATCTCTGCTAGTGCTGGTATGGCTGTACTTCACTACCTTTCATGTTATTCTTAACGATACCAGAGAAACCTATCTGGTCACTAAGCAAACCTACACCACCCCAGACAGTGCAGACTGTCTTTTGAACCCCCAATTGATTTTCTTTTCCAGTCATCTGCCTGTTTCTGTTCAACAGCTGCAGTCCTCTTATTCAGCAGGAAAAGTCAGGCATAGTTAAAACAAAACAAAATAAAACCCAGAACAAATACAAACAAATTAAATTAAAGAAAATGTTTTAGAGCATTTCAATATTCACATGATGTTGTGAGATGGTTTCATGTCTAAAATGATAATATTATTTCTGGCAATCTATCTCATGCTATTCTTTTGTTGATTTTTCCAACCTCTTAGGAACTTGGAACAAAAATATTTTACTGATGTTACTGTCCCTGGGAAAAGCTTGTCAACATAGATCCAGGTTTATGCTGAAAACTCCAAATATTTGGCATGTGGTTTTGAATTTTTTCTTCATCAAAGGGATTATGTGCAGCTAAGGTCTGTTCACATGGAGGCAGTGAGAGATACTGACACTGTAATTAAAACAAAAGGCGACTTTTCATATCTGTGTACACGTAAATGCAAAAATCTCTTTTTGCAAATGATAATATGATCATATGAGAAAGTCATTACATTACAGTAGCTCCCTCATACAAAAGCTGAGTGGACACTCTAGGGATACATATGCTATAGAAACCTACCTCTCTCTCTCTCATTTTTGCAGTGCCTCTCTGAGCAGGGGGATCAATGAAGTCTGATTTTGTATGGATTTGTGTCTTGAGGTTGAAACCCTATCTGGACTTTGAGGTCTCATATGAAGTGCTGCACTTTTTACCTCAGTGAAGCATTAACCACAGCTCTTAACTGTCTGCCTAGCTTCAGAATACTTTTAAGGACTTAATAGTTTTTGGATTTCATCGCCTCTCAAATATCCTTGATGAGCTTAAGCATTAAGATCTCTCTCACAGAGAAATCTCAGATGCTCAAAGAGGCAGCACAGTATCTTAAACACAGTTTCTACAAAATGAAGCTAAAGTGTCCTCATGCACATATGGAGAAGCAGCATAAAATACGAATTAAAACAGAAAACATGAATTTAAACATAAACAGAAAATTTAAAAGCTAAGGAAGAGATACATTTGCAGATTAACCATTAATCACACAGGGGAAATCTTCCATTGCCTGTGAGGATTTAGCACCTAATTGCAATTTGTCTCTTTCAAAATTTCCTATACAATCTCTTTTGTAAATATATGTAAAGCTTCTCATGTTGCATATTAAAAGAAAAAAAAAATAAATCATGTATATACCTATGTGTCTGGGGGGTAAAGGAACTTGAATTTCAGCTGTAGCTATCAGAAAAACTCCCCAATTCCATGGGTCCATTTCTGTGTTTTCTTTTAAAAATTTTAATTAAAATAAATTGATTTGTCATTTTGAGATTTCTATGTTTAGTTAAAAACCAACCAACCAAACTGAACAAACTCCATTGAGGACCTTATTGGCTTTGGAGTTTAATTTTGGCCTGTAAAAGGAAGAGTAACAGCTCGATGACAACACTGTTTTGACAGAAAAGGCCAGATAGATGAGCTTTAAGACTTTTAATTTCACTGAGGGATCATAAGGTCCCCTGCTACTAAGTATGTTAAAAAGAGAAATCAAACTGAAGAGTTGAGTGAGGTTCATTAGCTCTGGAAAAGCACAGTTACAACAGCAAATGCATTCTTCCTTGGGTTTGTATGAGAGCAAAAGTTTGCTACGCACCAAACAATTTAAATAGAATGCTGTATTTATATTATTTTTGCCCTTGTCATCACGGCTCAGTGATTTTTAAAAAAGGTAAAATTGCTAAAGAAAATGCAAAGGGACCCATTTGAGATTTCAAACACCCTCTTGCACACCTGTCCTCTCACAATTCCGGCTCAAACCACAGCAGCAACAAACGCAGTGGCTCAGGATGCTCCTGAGCTCTCCTATATTTGAGTGCCGAAGAGTCAGTAGCAGGCATCATGTCCCAGTTCCATGGAGGATTCATGGGCAGAACACAGCCATTTGAAGATGCTCTGAGAGTTTTGAAGGCTGGAAGAGGTGCTAGGGGCAGAGGGCCAGGTGGCTCTTAGTGAGGTGCAGGGAGGAAGGGTCATATGCTGAACTTGAAGAGGTTCACAGGCTGTCAAGTGAAAACTGGGGGTTGAATTAAGACAGGCAGCTTCAGATCATCCAGCTCTGAGTCACACAAATCATGAAACTGCTTAAAATATTTCACCTACTCATACATCTCCTTTATCTTTAACCTCTTCCCTCTTTTTTGTCGTTATTCTGCTGTTTTCCTTTCTTTCAAGTCAACCCTCCACCGTTTTCCTGCTTCCTCATCTCTTGTTCCCAGTTTGGCACCTTTCTTCTGCTGAGCAGAGCACTCATTACATTTTGCAGATCTTTCACTTTTTGGAAATACTACAAGCAGTACTTCTGAGCTTAAGTCACTAGCCACATACATGCCCTCAATCTGATAATGAATTTGTGCTATTTTTATTCATAGCAAATTGGTGATATTCAACATTTACAATGCAGCTGAGGTCCCACTCTTTGATCAGGTGGAAGGAACATAAAAACTCAGAAGTCTCAAGCAAGTTATTCAGCTGGAAAGCAGATCCCTAGGAGCTCTGAGGTGTGGACAGGCTGGTTTTGCTCTGAACCTGAGTGAACCAATGAAGAATTGCAAAGCAGGAAAAGGTGAGAGGTGCCCAGACTTGTGCAGTGTTATCTCTGGCTCACAGCACAGTGGCTGAATGGTCACCTGCTGCACTTGTGCTGTGGGTGAAGTGATGAGTGGCACACACATTTCCCTTCTTTGGACGGGGAAATGTGTCTTGATACTGCTGTGAGGCACTCAAGTGACAGAATGGAGCAGAGCCTTTCCCAGCCCTTCTCTTTTACAGGGTCATTGCACATGTTGTGTTTAAAGGCAGAAACAAAAATCTGCCAGGCCAGGTTTCCACATGTCAGGAGCCTGAGAGCTGCTAGGATCTTGGAGCGTGACAGGGACAGTCTGCAATTAATGTGTATTGGGGCTGGAGTAACATTTGGCAAACTAAAATTTATAGGATATAATTGTCAGGAGAGCATCCCACAGAAAGGGACCTCCTTTGGTGTTCATCTGGGTGTCGTACATCCACATGGGAGGTGGGTAGTACACAGCTCACCTCCTCCCAAATGGGAAAAGAGGTGTTACAAAGGAAAACCCACTTGCCGGCTTTCTGGAGAGATGGGGAGAAGAAAATCAACTCAGTTTCTGAAAGGGTAGGAAAGCATCCCCTCCCCCCTCATTCCCACTCCAGCAGGACTGCCTGGGGAAGAGGAAGTAGCGTTTGGCTGGTTGTGTAGCGGGTGGTGTTGTTTTGGAAAAAAGCTTGCTTTCTTTTAAACGCCTCCTGCCAGGTTGGTGAGAGCAAACGTTCAAAGAGGATTGCTGCCTGTCAATGATATGTGGCTCCTGCACACCAGTACTCTGCAATTCTATTTCTGCACTGCTTATCTTCATGCAGGGGAAACTAAAGTGGCATCTATCAATTATTCCAACAGAGTCAAGTACTCCTAATACTTTAAGACCAAAAGAAGATTTTATTATGCTTTGTCAAGAAATGTTTGATACCAGGTAATTCTTTTTGCAATGATCTACTTAAAAACTGATGTGAAACACATACAGGCATGAAACAGCTTGCATTGTTTTTACTGCATTTCTTTTGATTGTGCTACACCATGAAAGAAAAACAAACACATTCAAAAAGCAGACACTCCCAGGCTCCACATCTGCAAAGTGCAGTAGAGTTGTTTAGGTCTCCAGACTCCATCCTGTATCTATTTAAACATAGATGTTTCTATATTTATATGAGGACTCTTGCAAGTAAGGGTACAGATATTCCTTTAGTGTTATTGCTGGTGTCTACAAGGGACAGGAAATCCAGTCACCTGGAGGCCAAACCTGTTAAGAATAGGAACCACAGTCCCTCAGAGCCCTGCTGTGCCTTCAGTGACATCACTGGAAGCAAGATGCTCTGAACACAACATTTTGGCTGAAAAACACTGTTCTGGGTTTTTTTAATGAAACTGTTTTGCCAAATACCTCCTGATTAGATCTAGTTTTGCTCCCCCATCCCCATCCCTTTCCTGTGCAGAAAAAAACCCAGGCAAACCTTTCAGTCATTTAACATAAAAAGCAACATGAAATTTAATTTTATACAATTCCTACCACAATCCTCCCCAAACTTGCAATGATCCAAACAAGAAGAAAGGCCGATCTACTATCTACTTAATTTTCTTGACAACTGATAGTCCATATTATGCGCTCTGGAAGCTGATAATTTCTAAACACACTGCAGGGCATATTTGTTTCTCATTCAACACTGTTTACATGTTATGCTTATCTTGCTTAGTTAAAAAACAAAAAATTTTGAGCACTGGCATAATTTTACCCTTTCTTAACATAATCAAATTACTTCTGGTTATACTCCAGTCTGTCACATTAAGTCCCACGTTATTGAGCTGTCTTACTGTGGGTTGTATTGTAGCGGTGTCTAAGGACTCAGACAAAGGACATGGTCCTTTTGTGAAGCCCATAGACTAAGGATCCATTATTCTTTTGGGTGTAGATACACTTCTCTTCATAATTACATCCTGAGCTGTGAAAAAGTGGCTGCCAGGCAACACAGCTGTCAAAACTACATTGCAGGGCAGTTGGGAAGCACAAATCAAATATAATAATAGAAATGTTTGGGACATGACAATGTTTGGGATTGTCATTATCACCCTTGTCCTTGCAAAACTGTTGGTGCTGATGCAGCCAATTGGGACTCCCAGATCTCTCTGGCATTTTGAGGTCTCTGGCACAGTTTTCGTCTAAAGGCTGTCACTACCCTGTCTCTTTTCTGTCTTTTGTGTCAGCAATAGGCATCATGCAATGGGCTGTATCTCTGCTAAAACAGATGATTATTTTCTTACACTTAACCTTTCAGATACAGCTAATGTAATGGGCAATAGCAGCAGAAAGGAGGTGGTGCCAGAACGTGGCTGGAGAAAACCCTGTCCCTTTCAAGAGGCCTGATTCATGCTGCCCGTCAAATCATGCACACAAGATGCAGTTAAGCTGATTTAACTGCTACTGAAAGGAGCAATTCTGCTTTACCTCTCTTCCAGGTTTCT